TTATGACTGGGAATGAGAACAGCTTGTGAAGTGTGTAAGAGAATCTATGGTGGCCACAAACCTTGTGAAATGATCCATCTGTGCAACTGTAAAAAACATGGTGGACTCTGTAGTAGAGGACCCACTCCCTCTGTAGATAGAAACAGCTCATTCTAAGGTAATGAAACCATGACTTTTTTTTCAGGTCATTATACACTAATGAAAACATACCTATGAATATGATATTATATTTCTGACAATAGATCCTCTTAAACGCACACCAGATTTCATTCACACCCAGGTTAGCTAAACTTAAACAAAGGAGAACAGTACAAATTGTCACCAGAACAGTTTACAGACCAATTGTCTAATGACAATTTAGCCTCTGGGGGCAATGGCCAATGATTCGGGACTACTGGTGGGGCCAGTAGATGTCCGGATAATGGATATCCCGAAGTCTTCCTCTTCCATGTGCTAATCATTGTTTACATCCCAGTTAGCAAGATTAGAAAGAAAACAGAAAAACAGGAAATTATTCTATAAAATGCAAAATGGGTTTCGAAATCGTTAACAATCTGTATGGTACTAATTACTTTTACTGTTACTTTTTAGATTGCATTTCGGCCAACGCGTTCTGCCTCTTTTGCTCTTTACATAGACTGTTTACCTGCACGCAACCAAAGCCCGCTCAAACGTGATTTGTCAATACTACTTGGACTACAAACAGAAACCAGAATGCTTTTCATAATAAAATCTTGGTCCCTTGCTGACAGATTCTGCATTTATGTGCAGATATCTGTTTACAGAGATTATAACCAACATTACTAGATAGCTGCAGTCACTTACAGTTTTCCTCCAAATACAGGGGTTTAGATAATCTGGCTAAACTGTTCTCCATTGCTCCATTGTAACCTGTTTGATTGTCTGAACGCAGGTCTCAGCAATTGCTTGAGTGTGCATAGAGTTATCCTCACTGCTAGATGGCCAAAGTTACAAACGATTTTGATCCTTTAAAGGACGAGGGACAGCGAGAGATAAAACCACAAAGGTTTCCGATATAATTACTCATTACTTTTACACCAGAGAGAAAAATAACAAAACCAACCACAAACAGTTTCTCCTGTTTCCTAATGTACTTGATAAAGTCTAATCTGTCCATACTGCTGCATATCAGGAAGTTTTATGCACTGTGTGACAGTCTTTCTCCAGGAATCTTATCCAGTGATGCATGTCTCAATAGACCTCTCTGTGACGCACAGTGAACTGTTCCAGTGTGCCAACAGGTGGATTAAACAGGGAGAGAGAGGAAGTGAGACAGCTATAGAGAGAGACAAGACAAGGTGACGAGGATTCCCTGTTCCCCTAGTAACGTAGTGAGGCAGTGAAAGACAAGCTGTCTTCCACAGATTTCTGTTTAATTGCACCCCAAACCACAATCTTTGGGAACACACAGAGCCTCTCATAGGTCTGATAAACACTCAGCTCAGTCTCTTGAGTCCTCTTCATTCACCCCTGCATCAAAAGCTGAGCTAAAGCATTTGTAGCTGCAGTAGCAACACATCTTCAACATTTTAGTCTCTATTTTGTTGGTTAATGGTAATGGTAAATGGACCTGTACTTGTATAGCGCCTTTCTAGTCTTCCGACCACTCAAAGCACTTTTACACTACATGCCACATTCACTCAGTGATGGCAAAGCCCATCAAACAGAAACTAACGCATTCATACACATTTACACACTGATGCACAGCATCGGGAGCAATTTTGGGTTCAAGGATACTTTGACATGTGGTGGGAGGAGCCGGGGATCGAACCAACAACCTTCCGAGTAGTCTTTTGATGAGAAAAAATCTAGTATGTGCTGTAAGCTTCGTAGAGTTTAATGCTGACTCACACTACATGAGGGTTTAAATGACCAAACACATGTTTTTGCATGGCTGTGGCCATTATCTACAATTCGCATATATTTCACTTCCTAAGAACTGATGTCCTACTTTCCAAGTAGCCAATGGTTTCTGTTCCAGCTGGTATGAAAATCTGTGTAAAAATCAGCCCACGGACATTGGAAGCTTTTAACTTTTATAACGCACTTATTTGTCAATTTTTTTTCTTTCAAAATGTATGTTATCATCAACAAAAATTTTGAAAACTCAACTAAAAATAAAGAAACCAAGATGACAAAAAAGCATAACATAACAACAAAACTTTTAGCACAATGTTAAGAAAACATCAAGCCAATGTCACATCTCGAAGTTAATATCACACTGCACTAACACAAAGTTATGCTTTAGAAAATCCGTGGTTATAATGGGTTCAAGGTTGAGGGTTCAGCTTTATTGTTATTAATTGCTGTGGGAGCACAATGCAGTTGTTGCCCCCTCCACGCAACATACACATACAATATGTATGAATGTGACAAATATATTAAACTGGATTTTTTATGTAATAAAATAGATGAGGTAGAATTAATTAATTAATGAGTTAATGGGGAAAATATGCAGAATCATAGCTATAATATTGTGTTCATAAAATGTTTCAGAATGCATTATCATTAAAGATATCCTCCAGTCATGTATTAGGACATATGAAGAACAATAATGTGTTTCTGATGTTTTTTCCACAAACGAAAGTCTAACTTCCACATTAAAATCCTTAAACAGCAATCTCCTCCTACACTGCATTAAACCTTCCAGAATCTCTGAATATACAAATGTTGTTAATTTCTAACGTTTTTTTAAAGTCCATTCTCAGTGGATGTGCACTGGTGGCTTCAAGTTTCACTGTACAAGTTGATACTGGACCAGGACTGACTTCCTGACTATTTGTGATGTCACAAATCCTGCTGGTAGGCCCCGCCCCTTAAAATTGGATTTTCAATGAGCACAGAGAAACTTTCCACTTTCAGTAGATGAATGTGAAAACATCCTTCTAGTGTCAAACTCTGCACAGACAGCATTCAGACAGCACACTGTAGGAACAAGAACAAACACTGATTTCTGAATGGAGGGGGGCTTTAAGTATTAATCGACAGCTGCTGTAAGTCCTAATACATTTGGGTGAGTAAACATTCATTTAGCAGACATAGGCCATTGTTAATAACTAAGTCGCAACAGATGCAGACTTCTGTAATGCCTCCTCCTGTTTTCACTTCGCCTCCCACCCTCCTGATTTATCTTTCATCTTCTCCTCCTCCACCCTGCTAAACTCTTCTTCCCCACCCTCTTCCTTTATCTTCACAGCTAAACGTGTCCCTGTCTATTGTCTTTTATACCTTTCTCTATCTTTCTTGTCCATACTCTTGCCTTTCACCCTCAACACGACCTCTGGCATTTCTAGGAGTGCGATTACTATCAGTCAGTGATTCTTCTTCCCCCTCTCTCTGCCTGCCTGCCCAGTTAAGAAAGGTGGGTTAGGGTTTAGCTTCAGGCCAGCAACAGCACCCTGTCATTAAGGCTGCATTTACATGTGACCAGACCTTCCATGTTAACTGGACCCTGAGGGGGGAAACCTCACCTTAGCTCACCTGCCGGATTGTGAGAACTTTCTTCTACACTTCATTGTTTAACACACATGCACACACACAGTAGAAAGTCTTGGAATGGTGTAAGTGGTGTTTAACACGGGTTTGGGATCACATGCAGGTATGGATAAAACCTCAAACTGCACTGCGTCCTTCTGTCATGCAGAAAATAGTTCACTTGCACATTATATTCCTCTTCAAGGTTGGAATGACTTACTGGAAGAAATCTACAGAAATAAACCATTGCTGGCCCCCTGGTTAGCTCAGTTGGTAGAGCTGGTGACTCATATACAGAGTTGCTGCAGCAGCCCGGGTTCAAACCCAACCTGCGGCCCTTTGCAGCGTGTCATCCCCTCTCTCTCTACCCACCTTTCTTGTCAATCTTCAACTGTCTCTATCTAATAAAGGCATGAAAAGGCAAAAAAAAAAAGTTTAAAATAAACCATTGCTTTCCAATTGAGAAGCCATATTTGAAGATGAGAATAGACTGAACATACAGTAAAGGTGCTATAAAACCAAAACTGTGCTAAAGTTGGCTAAAAAGCACCTTTAAGCTGCAGAATTAACATTAAATTAAACTTCTTGGTTTTTATCACAGTTAAAAGTTATATATATCAGATTTAAAACATTAACATAACAGCAAATAACTGTTAGCTATGTAACAATATAGCAGAGTCATGGAGTCCTGAGCAGAGAATGGTGTCACACTCGCTCTGCCTGTGTTACTATCACAGCCTCTCTGTGGTTTCTTTACATAGCCAGTCTGGCCAACGTGCATGTTAAGGCTCTTATACACTCACCGTTCCCGACCTGTCGCGCGACAGTGTGACGTCAAAATGACATAGATCTCGCTAGCACTCTTTTTTTTTCAGCTGAGCGCGCCAAAGCAGAAACAGGAAGATGGACGAGTTCGAGGGCAAGCTTTCCGAGCAAGTGCGCCTCTACAGGCATCTGTATAATCCTTCAATGAAGGAACACAGAGATGCCCAGAGGTGCCAGAAAAGAGGAGGCCATATGCCGGAAAATTTGGAGGAACCTCCGTGACCGATTTGGAAAATCAAAAAAGAGGTCGCCATTGTTTACCTTTTTCTTCTTCTTCTAGTGCGTAGAAATAGCAAAGTCCGTAGCCTTTCCTCAGTTGCGACACCTCTGTTCAGGAGAAGACTGCAACTAGTGTTGCGACCACCACGCGCAAGTATAAATAGTTACAGCACTCCCGTGACATCACATTGTCACGCTACAGGTCGGTATATAAGAGCCATTAGAGACTAAAACTGCTGTTTTTTCTGTCTATGTCAGTGAATTTAGGGTTTATTATGACCAAACCAGTGTTGTTTTCGTTCACTTTGATTACCGTCACTTGCCACTAAGTCACTTTTTACACGTGACATCGAATTTCTGTGTGTTGTTTTCTGATGCATTGTTATGTATAGTGTGTTTTGACATATTCCAATGCCAAAGATTAATTTCTATTTTATGCTAATTTAATGGACAATAAATTCAATTCAATTCAATTTTATTTGTATAGCGCCAATTCATAACAGAAGTTATCTCAGGACACTTTTCAAATAGAGCAGGTCTAGACCGAACTCTTTATAACATTATTTACAGAGACCCAACAGTACCACCATGAGCAAGCACTTGGCGACAAGGGCAAGGAAAAACTGCCTGTTAAAAGGCAGAAACCTAGGACAATAAACTAATTTGAATCTGAAAAATAATTAGTGTAAGCAATACCTAATATTTCCAATGTGTTTAACAGACCCAGTTTTGAATGACAGCAGTAATAGCAACAGAAAGGTGAAAAGTTTCTTCAAAGCACTTGTGTCAACACTTTGCATTTACCTAAAGAGTTACTACTGCAAGTGCCACCTCAGGGCAAAGTCTCTGCCTTTATCCTAGAGGGCAGAACTTAAATGAGACTGTTTCATTTTCAGTAGAGCCTGCAGGGCATCCATCAAATCACCCTGACCCCGCATAATTACAGCCCAATACAGGCAGTGAGAACGACCCAGACACTGTCCTCTCTTTGACAAAGGACAGGGGTGGTCAAAGTGCTTTGTCTTAGCCACATAGCTGGTGAGTGTGTGTGTGTGTGTGTGTGTGTGTGTGAAGGGGGAGAGAGAGAGACAGACAGAAAATAAGAAAGTGTAGCACAAAGTGTTTTATGCTTTTTTTCCACAGCTCTGTCCATTCTTGCCCAGATTTATGGGGCAAGAATGGGACAATAAATAGGAGTGGGACGGGCTTTAAAAGAGTGAATGAACGTGTGTTTAATTTAGTAGGATTGTAGGTGTGTGACCCCAAGTTTCACATCATTCATAATTCATATAATCGCCCACCCCTCAGTAACGCAAAAGATTAAGAAGGAACCAGGATTTCCTTTTGCAAATACACCTTTCATCGGCTGAATCTTTCTGGTGGATGGATAATAAATAACTGTCAAATGAGTAAGGGAAAATCACCTCAAGGCAGGGCAATAAACAGGTTGATATGCCCGGCTCGTGGACGGCTTACGGTCACCTTCCACAAGCCGGGTAAATCAAACTGTTTATTGCCCTGGCTTGAGGTGATTATCCCGTTTATTCTACTTCTTGCTTGCCAACATAATAAAACAATTCAAATACTTTAATAATTATGCTTTTTCTTATTCGTATTGCATGCTTATTAAATGTATACTCTGTTTGAGTTCATCTCCCTCAAAAAGTAGTCTCCTTTAGAACTACGGTGAATAATGTTAGCTCAGCTGTAGCTAATTAGTTTCTATAGCAACCGCACAAGGCTGCATCTGGTTCACTGGTTTAATACCATAGTTGCTACATTGTATCAAGTCAGCTTTAATTATGATCGATCAAACATGCATTCCTTATTCCAAATAATTTTTATTTGCAATAAATGTATGACAAAATTATTGCGATTCAGGCGATTCATTTATGTGTATTAAACTGGACATTCCCATTGATGGTAAAATGAGACATAGAGAAGGGCATAGGGAAATTCATGGCAGAGAAAGATGAATCGGACGAAGTAGGCCGAGAGGATTGCGCAGCTTGGGGGGGAGAGACTATGCTTGCTGCGGAGGCCTGCTGCGGTGCGGACAACACCCGACTCCAAACTTTTTTGTCCATGTTGGATGGCGCCCAGTAGCTTTTGAGGCTGGATTCACACCTGCAAAAAAACTAATAAAAAATGCAAACGCAAAATTTGCAGTAGGCTTCAGGTAGGCTTCAGGTTATTATTACCACAATTAATTTATAACCTGGGCTTAGGCTTACCTGTGTCCCGTAACAGACATGATTTGTCTGGACTCCACCCTGGCCTCAGACAGACGACGGACAGCCGTGCTTCTAAGACTGTGGTTGGTGTATTTGGTGGTCAGACCAGCTGCTTTGGACAATCGTGGAAGCATGTCCCCCAGGTAGTTCTTCCCCATCGGCTGTGTGGAGTACCAGACATGTGGTTGGGTGTCCATCACTGCCCCCCCGGTTCCGCGGTCTATGGATGCCGGTCATCGTTGCCACACTGTATGGCTTGCCTACTAACAATTCGTTTAGTTCTTTGGCGCTGCAGGTGTCTGGGTCAGTTGTCACTGTCAGTCTATCCTGTTGGTGGCTCTTCCACTCGGTGAAAACCTTTATAGCAAAGGCAGTTGCCTTTTTCGTGTTTGATTCAAGGGCCCTGTCTTCAATTGTACGCAGCTCCTCATCTGTCAGATCTCAGAAACGGGTACCCTGGGTCTTGTCTTTTGCTTTTGTCATTCCGTCGTCTTCGTCGCTCTTTAACCAGTCCTCAAATGTCTTCCTTACTCCAAATAGATTAAAATTGACAATGAATTCGTCCATTTCAATCTTTTCAATCAATTCTGCCAATCAGAATCAAGCATTCTTAAACGAAGTAGAATACAAATATTTAATTACCCCTCCTGTACAAGCTGAGATCTCTATCTATCATCCCGTCCTCCCTCGCAGCACAAACAAACGGAGAAAGTTCCACGGGAGGCCTTAACAAGACACTGCATGCTTCCTGTCCTCTCTGAACTCTAGCGAACATATCTGTCATGAACAGTAAATTATGTGGAGTAGAGTTTAACTGAGAAAGCTGTAAGTCAGACTGGGAGTCACAGATTCCTGATGAAACATACTGGCCTAGCTGCCAAAAGTCAGAGTGCTTAAACAGCACTGTTACATTTTTTCATCCTCACTGGGTGATGACTTTTAAACCAGTGGACTACTCCTCTCATGTAAGACTTTATCCCCCCAAAAAAGACCTTCTGTCAAAATTCTTTTCTGGGTTTAGTCTAAACTAGATACACAGGTCACATCGTTTAACACAACTTAGGCTATCACTGCAAAAAATATCCTTATCCTATCCTCTGAGTAATTTTCATGTTACTGAGTCATGTGAAAGAACCAAATATCATGCATGCCATCGATCACTTGTAAAACATGAATCTGATGAGAATCTAAGAGACATTGTAAATAATGTGGGTACACATGATTGAAGGTGCAGGATTTTCTGATCTGCCACATATCTATATGATTTTTTGATGTGCAAGAACTTACTTAGTAATATTTATTGAGTCCTAAAATTCTTTTCTCAAAACAAGTAAAAACAATCCACCAGTTTCCAATAGAAATGGGAATGTTCCACAAATGTTCTAGCTGGTTTCTTGAAATTAGAGCTGACTGCACAAGTGTCAAGAAAAATTACACTGATGATGGTTTCTTCTGGCTTGGTCAAACACAAAAGAAGATTAAAGCTTGAGTTTACCCACAACTAGCAGCTAACATTAGTCTGACCATGGGGTGAGATGTCACTGTTGGTTTATCAAAGCAAAGCTAAAAAATAAGCACAGCAGAATTGCCAGATAGGTCGGACTACCGTGTTTAACTATATAACTTTAAATGTTACAGTTATATAGTTATAGAAAATAACAACAGAAATAAACACATTTGCCGATTTTATGTATCTCCACAATTCAAATCAGCTGCCAGTGGTCTACCTGGAAGTGACTGTTGTTAGTGCAACGTCACTCTGATTCCATCTGTAGGACTTTTTAATTATGGCAGTGTTGAGTAGAGTAAACTCTTTTTGTCTCAAGCACAGTGCTATAATCTGTTACTTCACTTTAAAAACATTGAAAAAAAACAAATAAAACATGACATTTAACTATGCATTTGACACTGACAGTAGGCAGCCAAAAAGGAAACTGTAAGAATTAAAGTGCTAAGTGCTGTATTGCATGTTGCTCTATTGCACTAAGCTTGCAGCTTGATGGAGGCTGGGACAAACAATAGCTGGTCTTTGCCTCAATAATACGGTTTGATTTGTACTTTTGCACTCTGAGTCTTCTTCTTGATGGCACAGGTTCATATTCATCTATTTACCTAAACCAACACTCTTTTTCTCCAGCACTTTTGTGTGCCGTCTGCCACACCGATCACCTGGAAGCTCTGCTAACACTTTCTGCTGCTACTGCGGCTCAGAGAAGGAAGGAAAGCTCATTCAGAGAGGCATTTCCTGATTGTTAAGGTAATGAGCCCCATCAGTCCTCAGACACACAGGATTAACCAAATCTAACTGTGGCTAATTAGATCCGTTAGTGCCCTCTCTTCAAAGAATTGCAAGTCGCCTGCATTTTTCAGTAAAGGAGTGAAAAGAAAATATATTAGCTACTATTATTAAAAGAGATGGAATCATCATTTGGGTGATGATGTTTAGGCAGGAAGAGGACAGAACTGGAAAGAAAAACATCTTCATCATTATTCCAAAACAGGTCTGAGACCTGGCCTATAGTGAACTTCCTGGTCTCAGTGGAGTAAAGGTCAGGGGAAAAAACACACACACACACACACACACACACACACACACACACACACACACACACACACACACACACACACACACAATCCCCCAATGGTGTGCGTTTTCTTTGAGAGGTAAAGTCTTGGTTGGAATGCATGGGTGCATACGGGCGTGTGATAAATCGTATGCTGTTTTCTTTTTCAATGATACATTAGGATACAGGCTCACAGACAATTGTAACCATTTATTCTCTTAAGCAAACTTCAGAAATCCACCTGTCACCATTTCACTGCATCATTCATCATCATTATGGTCATTACTGCCTCCTCAGGGCTGTTGTTGGGGATAAGCTCTGGCTTAGACAGTCTGCAGGACACTTCAGTTCTGAGGTCAACAGCTACAGCTACAGCTCCACCCTTGCTTTGTGCATGTAGGGAAAAAGAAAAAAAAGGCATAAATACAATTAAAAACACACACAGACACAGCACATGGACTGAGTGAGGCTGCTGGTAGCATCATTCCTTTCTGCGTTATTCATCAAGACAGTGAAGGGGACATTCATTTCCATCAGTCTGAAGAAGGAGAATTATCACATATTATCTCTGACATTCACTGGAATGCATCTGGGGGAGAGAGAGATAGAGAGATAAAGAGAGAAAAAGATGGGGCTGGTTTAAGGTCTTGCCAGACCAGCTTGGTTTGACGTAGTGGTGTAAGATAAAGAAGCAGGAAGGAAAGAATGAGAGAGTAGAAGAGGGACAGAAAGAGGGGGGAGAAGAAAACAGGGGGGAGAAATCTGCAAAACAAATCAGTGGAGCATCTGTTGTACACACATACACACTCAAATCAGCACACAGGGAGCGTAACAACTTACAAACATG